ACAAATTTCACTAAATAGTTAACATTAGGAATTTTATTAAAATGAGAGGAACCAGTTGTTAAAACAAAGGCATCTTTTGCTGCGTAAACATTCCAACAGATATATGTCAAGCCTCTAAATCAAAAATCCTACAATCAGCCTATTCAAATCAGTTATTCTGCAAATAAATTAACATCAAATGGTTCAAATTTTTTTTATATATATTTTATTGGTTTTTACAGAGAGGAAGGGAGAGGGATAGAGTTAGAAACATTGATGAGAGAGAAACATCCATCAGCTGCCTCGGTACATGCCCTTGACCGGAATTGAACCTGGGACCCTCCAGTCCGCAGGCCGACGCTCTATCCACTGAGCCAAACCGGTTAGGGCTCATCATGTATCATTTAAAAAAATATGTTTTTATCATTGATTTTAGGGAGACAGAAGGGAAAGGGAGAGAGAAACATCGATGTGAGACGGTAACATTGACCGGATGCCTCCTGCCCACCTACTGGGGACTAAGCCCGAAACCTGGGCTTGTGCCTGGACCTTGAATTGAACCCAGGACCTCTGGGTGCATGGGATGACTCTCAACCCACTGAGCCACACTGGCCAGGGCTGTACTAATTCCTTTTTTTAAAAAAATATATTGTATTGATTTTTTACAGAGAAGAAGGGCGAGGGTTAGGTAGAAACATCGATGAGAGAGTAGCATCGATCAGCTGCCTCCTGCACATCTCCCACTGGGGATGGGCCTGCACCCCAGGTACATGCCCTTGACCGGAATCGAACCTGGGACCCCTCAGTCCGCAGGCCGACGCTCTATCCACTGAGCCACACCGGTTTTGGCGGGCCTAATTCCTTTTTTTAAAAAAATATATTGTATTGATTTTTTACAGAGAAGAAGGGCGAGGGTTAGGTAGAAACATCGATGAGAGAGTAGCATCGATCAGCTGCCTCCTGCACATCTCCCACTGGGGATGGGCCTGCACCCCAGGTACATGCCCTTGACCGGAATCGAACCTGGGACCCCTCAGTCCGCAGGCCGACGCTCTATCCACTGAGCCACACCGGTTTTGGCGGGCCTAATTCCTTTTTTTAAAAAAATATATTGTATTGATTTTTTACAGAGAAGAAGGGCGAGGGTTAGGTAGAAACATCGATGAGAGAGTAGCATCGATCAGCTGCCTCCTGCACATCTCCCACTGGGGATGGGCCTGCACCCCAGGTACATGCCCTTGACCGGAATCGAACCTGGGACCCCTCAGTCCGCAGGCCGACGCTCTATCCACTGAGCCACACCGGTTTTGGCGGGCCTAATTCCTTTTTTTAAAAAAATATATTGTATTGATTTTTTACAGAGAAGAAGGGCGAGGGTTAGGTAGAAACATCGATGAGAGAGTAGCATCGATCAGCTGCCTCCTGCACATCTCCCACTGGGGATGGGCCTGCACCCCAGGTACATGCCCTTGACCGGAATCGAACCTGGGACCCCTCAGTCCGCAGGCCGACGCTCTATCCACTGAGCCACACCGGTTTTGGCGGGCCTAATTCCTTTTTTTAAAAAAATATATTGTATTGATTTTTTACAGAGAAGAAGGGCGAGGGTTAGGTAGAAACATCGATGAGAGAGTAGCATCGATCAGCTGCCTCCTGCACATCTCCCACTGGGGATGGGCCTGCACCCCAGGTACATGCCCTTGACCGGAATCGAACCTGGGACCCCTCAGTCCGCAGGCCGACGCTCTATCCACTGAGCCACACCGGTTTTGGCGGGCCTAATTCCTTTTTTTAAAAAAATATATTGTATTGATTTTTTACAGAGAAGAAGGGCGAGGGTTAGGTAGAAACATCGATGAGAGAGTAGCATCGATCAGCTGCCTCCTGCACATCTCCCACTGGGGATGGGCCTGCACCCCAGGTACATGCCCTTGACCGGAATCGAACCTGGGACCCCTCAGTCCGCAGGCCGACGCTCTATCCACTGAGCCACACCGGTTTTGGCGGGCCTAATTCCTTTTTTTAAAAAAATATATTGTATTGATTTTTTACAGAGAAGAAGGGCGAGGGTTAGGTAGAAACATCGATGAGAGAGTAGCATCGATCAGCTGCCTCCTGCACATCTCCCACTGGGGATGGGCCTGCACCCCAGGTACATGCCCTTGACCGGAATCGAACCTGGGACCCCTCAGTCCGCAGGCCGACGCTCTATCCACTGAGCCACACCGGTTTTGGCGGGCCTAATTCCTTTTTTTAAAAAAATATATTGTATTGATTTTTTACAGAGAAGAAGGGCGAGGGTTAGGTAGAAACATCGATGAGAGAGTAGCATCGATCAGCTGCCTCCTGCACATCTCCCACTGGGGATGGGCCTGCACCCCAGGTACATGCCCTTGACCGGAATCGAACCTGGGACCCCTCAGTCCGCAGGCCGACGCTCTATCCACTGAGCCACACCGGTTTTGGCGGGCCTAATTCCTTTTTTTAAAAAAATATATTGTATTGATTTTTTACAGAGAAGAAGGGCGAGGGTTAGGTAGAAACATCGATGAGAGAGTAGCATCGATCAGCTGCCTCCTGCACATCTCCCACTGGGGATGGGCCTGCACCCCAGGTACATGCCCTTGACCGGAATCGAACCTGGGACCCCTCAGTCCGCAGGCCGACGCTCTATCCACTGAGCCACACCGGTTTTGGCGGGCCTAATTCCTTTTTTTAAAAAAATATATTGTATTGATTTTTTACAGAGAAGAAGGGCGAGGGTTAGGTAGAAACATCGATGAGAGAGTAGCATCGATCAGCTGCCTCCTGCACATCTCCCACTGGGGATGGGCCTGCACCCCAGGTACATGCCCTTGACCGGAATCGAACCTGGGACCCCTCAGTCCGCAGGCCGACGCTCTATCCACTGAGCCACACCGGTTTTGGCGGGCCTAATTCCTTTTTTTAAAAAAATATATTGTATTGATTTTTTACAGAGAAGAAGGGCGAGGGTTAGGTAGAAACATCGATGAGAGAGTAGCATCGATCAGCTGCCTCCTGCACATCTCCCACTGGGGATGGGCCTGCACCCCAGGTACATGCCCTTGACCGGAATCGAACCTGGGACCCCTCAGTCCGCAGGCCGACGCTCTATCCACTGAGCCACACCGGTTTTGGCGGGCCTAATTCCTTTTTTTAAAAAAATATATTGTATTGATTTTTTACAGAGAAGAAGGGCGAGGGTTAGGTAGAAACATCGATGAGAGAGTAGCATCGATCAGCTGCCTCCTGCACATCTCCCACTGGGGATGGGCCTGCACCCCAGGTACATGCCCTTGACCGGAATCGAACCTGGGACCCCTCAGTCCGCAGGCCGACGCTCTATCCACTGAGCCACACCGGTTTTGGCGGGCCTAATTCCTTTTTTTAAAAAAATATATTGTATTGATTTTTTACAGAGAAGAAGGGCGAGGGTTAGGTAGAAACATCGATGAGAGAGTAGCATCGATCAGCTGCCTCCTGCACATCTCCCACTGGGGATGGGCCTGCACCCCAGGTACATGCCCTTGACCGGAATCGAACCTGGGACCCCTCAGTCCGCAGGCCGACGCTCTATCCACTGAGCCACACCGGTTTTGGCGGGCCTAATTCCTTTTTTTAAAAAAATATATTGTATTGATTTTTTACAGAGAAGAAGGGCGAGGGTTAGGTAGAAACATCGATGAGAGAGTAGCATCGATCAGCTGCCTCCTGCACATCTCCCACTGGGGATGGGCCTGCACCCCAGGTACATGCCCTTGACCGGAATCGAACCTGGGACCCCTCAGTCCGCAGGCCGACGCTCTATCCACTGAGCCAAACCGGTTTTGGCGGGCCTAATTCCTTTTATTCGATAATTATTTATTGAGCACCTGCTGCATACAGGCTTTGTTCTAGGTCCTGAGAATACAGCAACGAACAGCGTTTCTGCACCTTTAAGTTTACATTCTAGTGGGGTAGGGCAGGCAGACCACAGAATGAGAAAAAATACATAGGACAGTAGATGGTGATTCGTTCTCTAAAGTCAAATTAAATAGGAAACAACGCAAGTAGGAACTGTTTAGATACGTTTCCATTTTACATACAGTGATCAAAACTTGTCTTTGGCTCCGCGTCGTTAGCAGGGCCTCCAGGACAGAAATAAAACCTCACTCCCCCAAAAAACCAACAACAAAAACATCTTATTCCCATTTACCAAGCGCCTACCACTCAGGCCACCACAGTCCTTTATGGAGACAGTAACTTCATATTGAATCAATTATGAGCTTTCTGAGAAGCAAGCGGTTGGGAAACGAAGGCCTGTCAATAGCTATTGACCGGTAAGCCCATCCAGGGAATAATCTAATCATGCGTGATCCGCTTATTCTCCTTAATCTAGTTAGCGAAGTTTTTTTTTTGTTTTGTTTTTTGTTTTACGATGGAGAATGAAAGCCATGGGAAATGTTTTTACAGGTCGGTTGAGATATTTCCAACATCTAGTTACCTCACCGGCCCTCCCAGTGAGCATAAGCATTTATGTGAGGTGTGTGTGCACTTAAAACAAATAAACAAAAGAACCCCACCGGGGCCAGTTCTCCGGGTACCCAGAGTCGTTGAGTTCGACCGGGTGGGGTGGGGGTGGAACAGGGCATAGAGGCGAGAAATGGTGTTGGAATAAAAAGCCATCGTTTTCTAGGGAAAGAGCAGCCCCTGGGGCGTAAGGTGCTGTGTGAGGGCCCACTGGTCGGCCCATCGAACCTCAAACAAGGATCTAATCCTCGACACAAACTATAATAAGTGAGAAATCCTCTAACGTCGTTCGCGCAGGGTCCAGCGGGAACCTTGACCTCAAGATGGCGTCCCTCAGTGACAAGACTCAATCGGCTCCAATCAAACATGGCCGGGTGGGTCGTAATTTACAGCTCGAGCCTTTCTAGGCGTCCCTTCTCTATGGTCGTTCGTCGGGGCGTGGTGACTGAGCGCCGACAGTGAGGGCTCTCTATACGCGTTCTTCTCTATGGTGCTTCTCTCCACGGTTTCTGCCGCAGTGCACGCCGGGCAAAAGGAAGACCTCCAAGAAGCTCCCCGCGCAGCGCGGCAGTGTTTTCGCTGCGGCCTTTGCGAGTGGTCGCCTCGGACCCGGTCTCCCGGTGAGCGACGCGCAGAAACCTCGAACCGGTGGGGTCTCCCATAACCAGGAGCCCAGAGGGCCACGGAGACAGTCCCCTTGTCTCGGCGGCGGGTGAGTTCACGCCTCTGAACGCGTGTGGAAACCGGGTACCTCGGCTGGGGCGGGGGGAGGAAGGAAGGAAAAGCCGGGAGGCTCCGAAAGGGCCCGGGGTGGGACGAGGGTAAAGAGGGGGGCCGGGTGGGGGAGGGGAGGGGCGCGAGGCCTGGGTTTCCTCACTTCTCTAAGGCCTCGGAAACCAGTGGGCCGAGCAGGAGCCCGCGGAGGCCGGACCCGCTTACCGCCAGAGCCTTTCTCCTCGCATTGTCGCCCACTTTTCCTTTTCCTTTCACGGATGGCCACCGGGAATCCCGTCGGCACCTCCTGGGATCCACGTTTGCCACAAAACGATTGGTCCGCCCCTGGGGAGCCCTTCGCAGAGGCCCCCTTCGGAGCCTTACGGTACAATTTCCGGGCCTAGGACTCCCTTGGCCTAGGCTCGGCCGAGAAGCCAGCCAGCATCCACCCTTTTTAGAGAGGTGCCGGCTACCAACGGATCTCTTTC